GGGGCGGGGCCTGCCCCCCCGGAGCCGGTGCAGCAGCCGGGCTCGGGCAAGAGTAGGAGGCTGTAGGAAAGGCTGCAGCTGACTGACTTTACCAGGGAGACTGGCTACTGGCAGAGAGAAGAAGCAGAAGCACTTGGATTAGGTGGCAAATATTTCTCACCACTAGCGTATCCCACAGAAAAGACTGCAGGCTCTTCCCTCTTCCTTTTCAGATTTAGGATTCAAAAGCAGTAAATTCAGCTTTTAGTCATCACACCTCTCTCCCACCACCCACCCACCCCTTTCCTTGCTTTTTCGCTCTGAGTCATCTTCAGCACTGGTGCCAGCCTACTGCTCCCTTCCAGGGTTTCACGGCCTCATCTGGGGCTTCAGCTCATCTTCCCTCCCTCTCTCTCCCTCCCTCCCTCCCTGTTGTTCAGGTGCCACTTCGATCTGGGGTGCTGGCATACCCAGACCTGCCGCTGTGCTCCTACCAGCCGAGGTTGTGTACTAGTAAGTAGCATCCAGGGACTGGTAAAGAGGAGTGCGGGGTGTAGATAAACATGACGCTACATGCCTTCCTCTAAGAGCTTCGTTATCTAGGCATGTCTGGCTAGGTCAGGACTTTCCCATCAGTCTAAAAGGCTGGGCTGTTGACACCTTTCTCCCCCTGTTAGAGGTAGCTCATGATTACTGACAGTGCCTGACTGCAGTTTAGAGCATGCAAGGTTTGTGCAGAGTGAGAGGTACTGCTGCAGTAGGAGGACCTTCCAGTCTCCTCTAGTCCTCGGCTTTGGAGGCAGGACTGCCTGCCCCTGGTGTTGTCGGCGGCCAGCAGGCGCAGGCTTCCGGCAGGCAACAGGTTAGCTGTGTGCTGGGAGATGGAGGCAGCCTGTGTCAGCATGCTGCCCTCCTGCCTCCCAGCCGCTGTTGTCAGGGATGGAGCAGGGGCTGCTGTCCTTTTTCAGGGCTGTGAGAAAGTGAATAAGCAAAGGTGTGCGTGTGCTGAGAGTGTGTGTGTGTGTGTGTGTGCGTGCGCGTGCGCGCGTGCACAGAAGAGGTGAGAGACTGATTGGCAAACGTGGATTCAAGATTTTCTTCTCCCCAGTGGCTGTGCAAAGAAATGAGTGGCCTTTATCAAGGTAAGGAGCCCTAATCCAGCCGAAGCGGTACGCTCCCGCTCTAGAAAAAGAGAAAGGGGGAGGTCAGGAGGTGGAGGGAGCAGGGTAAGAGACTGCAAGATGAGGAGGAAGCAGAGAGACAAAAGGGAGCAAGAAAGGGAGAGAGGTTCTCACCCCCTCCGTTCCCCTCTTCCCTCCTCTAGGTGGGCTGAGAAATTTCTAATCAGCACTGGTAGTTCCTTTCCTCCCAGCCTCTCTGTCCTTTGTTGGTCTTTAATTTTTGGCTCTTGCATTTATCTTTTGTTTGTTTTTTGTGCACTGTGACTTCTCACTGCAATTGCAAAAAATCCTGTGTGAAGTACAGGGGGCTCGGTCAGCCTTCTCTTCCTCCTGCATGCCTAAAGCTAGCATATTAATAACCAACAGCAAAAGGATGAAGAGCAGGTCGTCCTTTATTTCTTCTGGTGAAGTGGCATGGGTTGGGACGAGTGTAGGAGTGTGCTCTTCTCACACTGTGGAAAAAGAAGGTACAATTTATCAAGTGTCTCTAAGCCCCTTTGTACAGCTGGTTCTTGTAAACTTCCAAGTGTTGCGTCGTTCTGCAGCGAGGCCTCCCCGCATGTTTATTCTTATTAATGCTTGATTCCTAATGCATTTAAAACGAGGGAAGTGCTGCATTGGAGACTAAAGTTCAGTATTTACCCACAGAACAGGCAGAGCAAAGCTTTTTTGTTTGTCTTTTCCTTGAAACTCAGCCTAAGCCTGGAAAGATTACAGCTAGGAGACTGTCCACATTAAAATGTGATCTCCTGTCTCTCTTAAGTCATTTTTCGCTAATAATTTGGTGTGCAGTACCTTTTTACTCTCGCTATGCAGAAGAGTCACTGGAACGGTTTAACACAAAGATGGGTAGATTTACTACCTCTGCTTTCACATCTGCAGTTTAGGAGCTCTCTAAGGGCAGGCAACAGGCCTGGTGGGGGGACATGCTGGAGCACCGTTGTGCTTTGCTCTTTCCAGGTCAATTGAGCAGACTGTTTTTTTTTTTTTTTTCTGCCTTGGTTTAAATCATTCTTCTGACTTCTCTTGATTGTCTGCACCCAGCATAAGCTTAGTGTGATCTCCCCGCACCCAATTACATTCTTCTTACCTTGGAAAGGGACTGGCACCAGGGGAAATCCCAATGCCACCCCAAGGTCAAGCATTACCACTTGGTGATACAAGGCTTGGAGTGAAATAAAGCCACTCTTCCAGCTCTCCTCATTAGTTCTCGGGCTTCTGCTGGTGACGTATTGCTAAGTGATAGTTTTGGGAATGATTTCTGTGGTGTTGAACCGAGACTGTGAAACAGGAGCCACCTGACAGTTGCAATAGCCTTTAAACAGTGATAAAACAGAGTGGATTTGATCTGGTAGCCAAAGCTGAACTAGTAATTCACCTGAAAACATCCAGGGTGACTTTTGGGAATGTGCGAGATAGGCAGTAGACAATAGGTAAGGTAATAGTAGGTTGTAAGAGGGTATAATGAGTGTGGGGAAGCTGGTGAAAAGAGACTGATACCCAGAAAAGCCCATGAAATGTCCTGAGCTGTTGTACACAGTCCTGAACTGCCAAAGACTGCGCAAGGGCTTTTACTTCTCTGGTGAAGTCGGGAGTGCAGGATGTCTGGGGAACCGTATCACAGAATACGGGAGAGGGAAGAATGGTCCAATGTCCCATGCGGTCACTTTGCAGAGTCCAGGCTGTGTCTTTTGCAGGGTGTTTCCATAATGAGCTTCCGTGTCCCGAGAGTTGGGTGTGCAAGGCCATGCCTTTCTCTCACTGCTTTGATTTTGCTCCCTTCCACAGTAAGCGGCCAGGGGCCAAAATTCTCTGTTTTGCTACAGAGCTGTGTAAAGCGATACCATGCTTCTGCCTCAGCAGCAGTTGACCTATTTAGATGTCGGTGTCTTGCTGGCTAACAAAGTCGACAATTACAGCCAGGGAGGTAAGGACGGAAGTCCAATAGAAACTAGACCATTACATCCAATTCATTTCCCGTAAGCCACTCAGCAAAATCTGATGGTGATGGCTTTTGCTAATGAAGTGCGTGGACTGGAATTAGACCAGCCTTGCCAGTATAGGCAAGAACCAATACAACACGACCTCAGTGATCACACTGGCCCTCCGTTCACCTGCTTACGCCCTGTGTGTTATCTCTGACTTTCCAGTCTCAAGCCCAGATCTTACACTTCCTGATTTAGGCTTGACTCACACT